AGGGGGGAGGGGGAATTGGAATATTGGATATCAGCTTTACTCTCACTATTGTAAATCGTTGGCTTGTGTTACTCATAGGAAACAGTTTCATTCAGCACTTTATACAGCCATCCATCATAGCAAACACACCCATGGACGTGCATGCGATCCGAGGAACGGGCGAGTCGGGATGGGAAGGGTACAAGGGAGGTCGAGCGTGGGAAGATGGAGGAGAGAGGAGGAGAGAAACGAAGTAGAACATTCCTTCTGTCTTCGAGCAGAGAACTTCCTGTCATGCTGAAGATGGCAGGGCGCAGAAGAAGTGGTACAAGCCCTCTTGGTCCTTGAAGGCGACATGCACATGGCAGTTGCTGCAGTATACCTTCCATAGAGGTCGGTACTCGTCGATTTCGAACCTGACTGGCGGTCAGGGCTCGACTCGCCGATGCTCTCCCGTCCTTACCCATCTTCCAGGAGTTCTTCCATCTTAGACACTTCCTCGTCCACCTTGCAGTTGATGACGAACATAGCAACGTAGAACTCGCATCTGTTCATGTCCCTGCCCGAGGTCTCAGTCTGCCGCTCCTGCCCATCTCCTTCACCTCTTGGTGTCGAGAGCGAACATGGTGAAGCATGCGGGACAGCACAGGACGGCATCCGACTGTGGGGAAAGAAGGAGTAAGGAGCAGGAAAGAGGCGGGGGGGTGGGGAGGGAAGGGGTTGACCTTGAGCTGGGCGAGGCCCTCCTTGATCTGTAGAAAGCAGAGGTGACAAGAGGGCGACTTGGCAAGACCGTCGACGTTCACCTCCCTGTACTCCTCGACCGTGCAGTTGGGATAGTCCTTGAGGATGATCTCCATTCTCGCATCTTGAGCCCACATCTCGTTCTTGATATCGACTGGTCCAGCAACGTCAACGAGTCATGACGGAAGTGGCCAGGGCTTTACCGCGGTTGCGCCGGTCTCGGAACAGACGCGACTCCTGCCTCAAGTTGTCCTGCACGGGCCTCAGGCTGAGACAGGCGGGCGGGCAGGCGGGGAAGCTTCACCTTCCACGCCGTCAGGTCCCGTCGCGTTTCAGAGCTCAGGCTGGGACGAGGATCACATTTCAACTCCTCTGCCTCCTCCCTCCTCCTCACTGGCTGAAGTCTGAGTAGACAAACTGCCTGTCGCTCTGCCGTATTGAGCTCGAGGAATATTCCCCTGGAGCAGAAGTGGAGTATGACGAGGACGAGTCCGACTGCGGCACGATGGCTTGACTTTGCCTACAGACGCTGTTACCATCACACGGACGCCAAAATGCAAGAGGCAGGATAACATCGGCTCGTCAAGATCGCGTTCCTCGACATCTGAAGGTCAGCAAGGTCAACTGATCTCAGGGCCGCTCCCCTCCTCTACCTGCTGCCAGGACTCTGGTCGAGTGTGTGTCTACTGCCCTCTCCAAGAGGCCGTCGTTGGGCTCCGAGCTCATGGAGATGTACGTCCTGTCGTCTGCAACCTCGGCCGCTTCCTTGTTGGAGATATTCAGCAGAGACTGTCAACGCCGTGTCAACCCCTTAGCTTCCGCACCTCAACTGACCCACCTGCACCTCCTCCTGGACTCTCCTGTCGCTCGAGCTGCTGGACACTGCGTCTCCCCTGATCTGACTCAGTCGCCCCCCCGACTCCCCTCCGAGTCACCTTGCGATGAATATGTCATCATCACCGTCGTCCTCGCGGTACCACCCATGATCTCGGTAGCTTTCCTCTTCCGAACGACGAAGGAACCTTTGGATCGATGGCATCTTGGTGTGAAGGTTGAGAACTTTGTTCCACTGCTTCTCTAAATCCTCTCATCATATCCTTTGAGGAAGGCAATCGGAAGAGCGAATCACCTTGAAGAGAGGAGTTGATCGTGGCATTCCAATCCCCTTGCCAGAGACAAGTCAGCAATGAAACCAGCAGAAGAAGCCCAAACCTGCCGTCATGTTGGGAAACAAGTCGCTGATGCTGTCATCTTCACTTGACTCGCTGGCCGGATCAACCAGCGCCGTTTTCTCTTTCACACGTGACAAGGAGCTTGAGGACTCCGAGAAGGACAGGTTCCACCATGGGCGACCTGTCAGCTCATACGTGTCGTTCAAGTTGAACTTCCCCAGCTTCTTCACCAGCTCCTCTCCACGCTTCGACTGAACAGCAAGCATCACCTTGAAGGGACAAGGAGACAGCCATGAGGGCACGTGCCTGCTCCTCGTTTCGCCGGATCTTGTTGATGTCCTCCTCCCACTGGTCTATCCCATATATCATGCTGCTAGTGGACCAGGAGCTGCTTTCCTCTCTTGTCAGCAGGCCCTTCGCCCTCAGCGACCTCCGGTACGCCTTGTACTCTCTACGGCTGACATCCTTCCCGTGGATCTTGAAAGTGAGATTCGCTACCTCCGTATCCCAACCAGCTAACTTTGCCACCTTGTGGCCATCTCAGCTCACTCCTCCAACTAGAACGTTTCCGTACCGTATCTTTCCTAGGCTCATCGCTGTCCGAAAACAGTCCACTTGCATCAAAGCAAGGCTGGCCCTGTTGCGCAACGTATCCAATTTTCCTCTTGCCAGTCAGGACAGAACGCGGGAGTCCAACAGGCTACAGACAGCAGGCAGGTCAGTGGCAGCAAGAGGATACAAGACGTATTCAGACACCTGCCTCAACATCGTTGCGCACAGGAGAGGATTTTTCGGATTGTCGGGATCAGGCTTGATCTCTTCAAAGTAATCGCTGACATTCCTAGACTCAACCTCGGTCGTCTCCCCTAAATCCGTCTCGCTCTTGTCATCTTTTCTTCCCTTCCACTGCTCCTCTCTTCGGGTCATGTTCTCAATGCGGCTGCTGAACTTTTCCATGTCTATCCTCATATCGTCCGCGATTTTTGCGATCTCTCTCTGAGTTTCTGCCAAGGTGGCTGGAGTCGTTTCGTTCCCTTCCAAGATTTGGCACAGCTCTTCCAGTTCCGCAGATAGCAGCAGGTCTTCCTGAATTATCCCCCCCCTTAAACGCATCGGCTTCGAGTCAAACCGCAGCGTCGAGTAGAAATTTCCGATTTCTCTGTTTTCAGCAGCGAGCATGCTGTACCAAAACGCCAAGATAATAGTGGCCCTGTTCACAGACATTGACAGCAATGTCAGCTCCAACGATTGACGTACCACTCTCCCATCCCTGATTCACTTCTCATTCCAATGATAATCTTTCAGGGCTTGCTTCTGCTAATGCCAAATCTGCCTCTACAACCATCAACGACCTCTTCTTTGACTCCGTTGACGTTTGCAGGCATTTTCCCTCTGGATCCTGCCATTCCCATGTTGTGTTCTATATTAGAATTACACTTTTCAGCAAGCAGAAGAGACTGTAAAGATCGATGTTCTCGAGTCCGCGATCTGCATAAATACATTTATTCCAAAGAAACAAACTTCAGTTCATTCCCTTCTGGTCATTCGTTTTTACTCCACCACTCCATCTGCCCTTCTCTGGTTTTTCCCGATAATCGAGTCGCTAAACGCTGGTCGTTCCTCCATGTCCACTTGAGTACCTTCAACTGTCTCAACATTTGCCTCGTCATTCTGTTTCATCACTCCTTTCCTCCCCTCCCCTAGCCTCCCAATCCCTTTCTGAGTCTATCAGTCTACATCTAATGTCTGTCTCTGTCTCTGTCTATTCTCTGTCTCTGTCTCTGTCTCTGTCTCTGTCTCTGTCCCTGTCTCTGTCCCTGTCTCTGTCTCTGTCTCTGTCTCTTCCTCTTCCTCTTCCTCTTCCTCTTCCTCTTCCTCGTTCCAACATGGAAAAGGACTGGGCGCATCGAACTGGCTTGGCAAGACCCAGTAAACTAATAATTTACAATTGTTTTATAGATTTGGAGTCTGAGGCGGACTCCTATAAAGCGGCCTGCCTCAGGGATCAAAATAGGATTTATAAAATATAGTTGTTCGATAAATAAAACATTTTAGTGTTATTGATAAATTTACCCAATAATCTTTCTTCCTTTTCAAAGTATTTATGTTACAAATACTTTGTTCCATTTCCACGAAATTACTATAGAATATCTCTACTATTCATCATTTATAGTTATTTTTTTTGTGATTTTGTATTAGATAAAACCAGTTCAGTACAGAGTTTTTTATCTCTACAACATTATTGTAATTTTCAGTAGTTCATTTGTACCGATTTACGTTGTACGAATCGATTCTGGTACTAGCCTTCTACGTCTGCGGACGGCCATGGCCGCGAGCCAGTTCGATTGGGAGGAATGGGAGGGAAGGGAGGGGAGGGAGAGGATAGTCTGTGTGGGATAGCGAGAATGTTGATCAGAGTGAGCAGTATGGAATGGGAGACAAGCTGACAATCGGCTGAGAGGAAAGACATGGGTGCTGAGTTGGTGAGAAGGGCCTGTGGTTTGGGCGGGTTCTCGTTGAAAGTGATCAAGGAACGAGAGAAGCTAGTCAGAAGGCAGCGTGAACTGCAAACCGACGTTGAAGTGATCGATGCTCAGTTCATGTCTGTGTCTGCCAGCGCAGGGGAGTCATTGACTTCATTCCAACGGCATGCATGTAGTCATGCTTTTTTGCTTCATGCACTGAGTTGGCAGTAAGGGTTCATGTCACTTGGTGGGGA